CCCTCCTCCTCCCCCTCCTCCTCCTCCACCTTATCGTCATCGTCATCATGAACAAGGACAGCATCATCTAACACAGAATCAGCAACTACACATTAAAAAAACAAAAACAATACAAAAACAATGGCAACATTAACAAAATCAACAATCACAAAAAAACAACGACACCAGATAGGCTTACTAGATGTGTGGGTGTTTGGCGGGTGCTCTGGTGGTGTGGTTTGCTCTTTCTTTCCTATCAAACATCTATCGTCCTGATCTCTTCTACTTCTTTTTTTGTGTATGTTACTCTCTTGTAACGCATCTATTCTTCGGCACTTATATGACCTTATTGAGTTTCAAGTGCTGTAAAACTCTTACGAAAACTAAAAAACAAAAAACTTACTAGATGTGGATCCTCCAGGGGCGAGCTGTGTGGAGGACACACTGATGCGGTAGGGGGCGGGGCCTGGCTGAGTGCCGTTGCTGTGAGCAGGAATGAGGTTCTTGCAGGAGAAGCTAGGAGCTCCCACGGGGAATCCCCACGACGTCTGAATCAAGGTCGCAAATACAAACACGACCGGGTGCAGATTTGACAACATCTTGATCTTTGTCTCTTCTTTTGCTTTTTAAAAAGTTTTTTTTTCTTTTTTCGTTGTGACGTAGTTTGTTTTCTTTAACAACCTCGTTTTCGTTTGGTTTCGTGATTGTATACTTGTATGAGCGATATAATTTTTGTGCGTGCAGGTATCACTTTTCTTGAATAATATTTATTTGACTTTGTTACTTCGTCACTCTGTTCTGAATACAAAGAAAACTTTCATCTGATGTGATTATGGGGAGCTCTGGTATGAGGGGCTTAGCGTCAATAAGCAAACACTTTTTGCAAAATATAAGTTTATGTTCACTTTCCTTCGTATTTTCTCTTCGTGGTATTTAGTTTTCCCTTGCTGCTATTATTAGACGATAACCAAACTGATTAGTTCTTCTTGTAGTCCGTTTACTTCTTGTTGAGTGGTGGTTGTTTCGATCTGAAAACAGAAACGAAGCATAGATGTGTTTAAGAAGGGCAACAAATAATAATACTGAAAGTAGTCGATACACATGGATTTCAAATAAGACTTAATATATGCACATTTGTCTGTTTGCTACATTCACGTGTCTGCGTGTGTGAATCCTAGTGCAGAAAATAAGAAGAGAAAAAAATCATGCTCAAGAGTCTTAGAACTGGCTCATTCATTGACCAACTTTCCTACCCCATCACCCCACATTCCCCACTCATGTCGACAACAAGAAACACACACATACATAGATTTAGAATGACCATATTATACATTCCCAGACTAAATTAATCTAAACTTCTTTCTCTTTGTTTAAAAACAAATCTCGCCTGTTCTCTAAGATTATATCAATACATGTGTACAGGCCGTCAATTTAAAAAAAGGGACTCCTTTTGAACAACTTTTGATTTCTTATGAAATGGTGGATGTTCAGATTTTAAAACTATAAACTGTTAAACTGCATTTATTGTCTTTTCATGTTGTTGTTTTCCACCTAGGTGTTACATCACTTACCCTCGGGTCAAAGGGCCCTTTTCTGCCTTACTAAAAGTAGCCAAAAAATTAGCGCAGTCCCATTTTCTAATAGTCGGTAATGAGAATAATTAACTTTGACTCATGGCATAAAACATAATATGTTGTATGTATGCTATTGGGACAATCTTGTTGGTTGCTCACAAAAAAGATGTTTCTTTTCGTTTATTAGAATTTATAATCTGGCTCATGGGGCTATGAAAAGGACTAAGCTGAGTAAAAGAAGTGTATGGATTCAACCCTCTTATCAACACTATTAGGTTATTTAAAAGGTGAGACCTTCGAAAGTAACGCCCGTCTCCGATAGGACCGAGCCAAATGGGTGAGAGCCGTCCCGATGAGAACCCTAAAAACGACTCGAGTTCAAGAACGCCCAGTCTGGGGTTCGAATCAGGCCTATCCGCTTGGTAGTCCAGCTTATTAAGCTATCATTTCATATTAATTAACAATGAAAAAGGGAAAGCATGTCTTTTTAAAGGTCTGATACGAACCATTTTCCCGATCTATTAATGATATCTCCGATCTGACACGAACAAACAAATGAATTTATAAAGACATTTTCGAACAGCATTTCAACATTATGCCCTAGATAAAATGAGAATGTAAATTACCGTCATGACTCATTTCCATAAAAAAACACACAAAAAAAACAATACAAATTTTAAGCACATTTTTAGTAATACAACTTCGGTTTTAGAATCTCAAGAATGAAAGTAAACCCTATCAAACGTGAAATAAATGAAAGAAAAACTATAGACCTTCACATTACATCAACATACTTTCAGTTATAAGGCTCCAGAGCACTATTACTAATTATCAAGCAACAAAAGTAAAATAAAAAACTACACACACAGAAACGTACCTTGAATTTTATAAAATCCTAATGCACTCTTACTAAGTATCAAACAAACAAAAATGGAAGAAAAAGTACCCACATCACAAAAACGTACCTTCAAATACAGAATCCTAATGCACTATGACTAAGGCCTCCAAAACAAAATGATGAGAACCCCTTCTTTAACCCCTGAATCTATTGTTTTACTGAGGTTTTCTTATGGAGGACTCAGATTTTTATACATGGCCGGCCAAGCGTCACGATTCAGTGATAACAGACACATCGCTGTCAGCGGAAACTGGACTGGACCGGGCTGTTTACGAGTGGGTGTGTGCGTTGTGGGTTTGAGTGGGGGCTGCAAGATC